TTTATACAAATTTGTAGAAATAACTATAACTGATAACATGTATTTAACTTTAAAGACCAACATTATTTTTGAATGAATACTTAAAATTAATCGTAGTGATCTTGAAATGCAAATGGTATTTATAAATACAACACCCATAATATTATAATATTAGGTACTAATATGACGTATAATATCCATTTAAAACAAATTAGCTTATCCCAATGTTTTTTTCTGTATCGAAATCGTTCTGTATCGATGGTGTTTCATTTCGATAAAATATATTTAAATTGAGTTGTTTTCGTCGAAAATACATTTTGTCGTTTACGAATAATAGACAAATTAAAAATCAATTATAAAATCTATCGTCCCCTTACACGTATATAAATATAAAATAACACGCAGCCTATACAGCCACTATTTCGTGTAATTACGTTTTTACAAAACCTTTCGGTTTCTTGTAAACAATAGAGAACCAAAATGCGTTATATTTAAAAAGTAAAATCAACCGAGAGTGAATTTAACAGTTTACGCTATATTATAATATTAGATATTTAATATTCAAATCATGTTGGATAGTGCCGTAGTGGATACGTATATTATATACATGTATAATAGTTATAATGCGTCTTAAGTCATTTCTATAAATGCACATATACAAACATCAGTCAATTGGAAACGTCTTTATAATATTATAATAATTATCGTCAATAAAATTAGGTCACACTGATTATCCGACTTGAATGTATCTGTGTAATCATTTTTATTTACGTATGTACGAATTAATTATATCTATCGAAGAAATATTGTTACAAACCAATTATTATAATATTCTACCTATAAGAGTTGAATATTTTAAGAGCTAATGTCCTGTGACGTATAATTTATTAACTAGCTACCGTATATGTAATGAGTAATAAAATAAGTATTGAACAGCAAGGACTGCCCATAGAACTCGGATAAACTGAGTATTCATTTTAGCAGTAAACATTAATTATCTCAACGTTTTTAAAAGAAAGTAAAATATTTTTTTGCCATAATTTAAATTGTAATAAATAACATTTTTATGGCAGTTATTATTTGGGTATAATATTCAAAACGCGGAATTTATAATTGAGTATATACTACTATAGACCGTCAAAATAAGTATTCAAAATTTTGATGAATGGAATAGAGTGGTACACGGCACACAACCCACGCAACATTAGTCTGCCACTCCACTCGTAGAAAATTAAAAAAAAACTCTGTATGTATTATATAGTATTATATACGTTATCGTTTGATCCAGTATATTATAAATTATAATTTTTTTTCTTTTAGACGAATAAAATTAAACATTTTTTTCAAAAAAAAAATTAAATTAAAAATTCTACATCACTATTTTAGATACCCCTATGATTCCAAAATATAATATGTTGCACATTGTTATTACAGTTTGAGTGATACTAATCACTGTGTCCCCCATACACAATAAACAAATACTACGGTTGCCTGCCTTGAATCATGTGTCTACGGGACAAGCTATCCTTGCCGATGTTCCGGTCTTGGCTATACATCGTTTGATAACTACTTCCCGACAGAAATTGTTTATATATAATATCTAGCGTAATTATACCATATATATCGATATTTAAAAATTTTCTGTGAATTTTAATTTACTCGTTCACATATGATATACGCACACGACATCGACACAATATTATTATCATTTATTTTATGGTATTGTGATTTCCGGCTTAGTGCGGTTATATCGTTAAATGCGCGCAGGAGGTCTACGTCGCGGCTCTATGTAATAATACAGATGCGTATTACAGTTCGGAATGCCGGTGACCTAAACATACCAACTACCTATCTAAAGATCGAAGTACGATAGCTGACGACAATATTATTTTATGTACCACATCATCGCGTAATATAGTAATATAATAATAACATTGGTAACAACTGATGTATAATAATAGCTACTTATATATTACGTGGCTACGGCTTAAATCGATTCGATAAGATTTTTCACGAGAGAAATAATATTTTATCAGTTTATTAAAATACAATAAAGTGTATGTAAACTCGTGTGTGTGTGAAGTATTATCGCTCGTTATTTTTTTCAATCCGATAACAATAACAACATGAAACATGCGACGTGAGGCAAACGCAAAATCGTCTTGGGCATTTTGATTATTTTTCTCAACTTAATATCAAAAGAGCATTGACCTACTTATAGTTTTCACTTTTACCAATTCATATATTATATAAGATAGCGTATGGATTTTTTAATTTAAACATTTCAAACAACAACATATTTATAAAGAATACGTTTAACGTTATTTTAAATAATATCGCTTGTATAGTTGGGTATATTATAATGTATGATTAGAGTTGTTTAGAATATTTAGATAACTGATTACCAAAAGTTTAAAATCAGAAACTTGGCCAGCAAACTTTTGTGGTGTAGTTGTCTACACATCTAACCCATAGTGGCTAGTTAGTATTTCGTGTTACTATATTATATAGTTAACGTTTACCATGCCACAATAATACAATCTGCAAACTTGTATAGTTTTTTATTTTATTTATAATATATTTTAAATAATGTTTAGAGTTTATTGTTTAGAAGTTTATTTTTTACAGCAATTCATAGTTTTAACATTGCTCGTGTACTATTTTAATACTATATTGCTAAATGGTGTGTATCGAATTAAATTTAAAACCTTCAACCATTGTTATAAGTACGCTCTTTACATTTAATTTCTTAACAAATTTTTTATTAACTATTGCGTATTTGCGAACAATACCTATTATTTATTTACATTTTATTCCAAATTAATATAAAATCCACTGAATGATTCATAAATGTATACTATTATTCAATTGTTAATATTATGCATTTTAATAAACACGTGATCAATAACTCGTATGGGTCGAATTTTAAAAAATATACTTCATCATGCCATTGAACTTAGTTGTTTTTATTTCATAATGCATATTTTGAACTTTGAATTTCATGAATGTACTTATTTTTCCATTAAAAAGATATGTTGTTAATCGTTATTACAGGATTTAAATATTACTTTACACGACTATCAATATTTAGGTAGTCCTTCAAATTATATTATATGAGGTTTTTAGATGAGATCATCTGTAGCTAATGATAACGATTAATGAAATTTAAATGTTATAAATTATTAATATACGCCTATTTATAAGAAAAGTATTATTTTTATTTTTTTTTTAGTTGTAGGCCATGAAGCTGTCCATATTATTATTATGCGCCCTACTGCCCCTTCCCCTCATTGATAAATTGACATTAATAAGTTGTCTTACTAAAATAATGTTTACATAACCACTATTGCAGATAAATTTTTAACACTAGATATATAGATTATTGATTTCATTGTCCAGCCCTAAAATTAGGTGTTGAGGCTATTCTCGGGTAAACTTTCGGGCGATTTATTATATTTTTTGTAACATTTGTTTCTAATTTTAATCTTATCTTTTCATTGCTGATTTATCGTGCGTATATACGAAAAGTTACTATGTATAATGCGTTGTTTGTACAATATTATAATATAGTTAAAGTTACAGTATTATGCGGAACGTCGTTTACCGTCATAAAAATTAATTAGAACATCGAAATTATAGATTACTTACTAGTTCACATTTTTAAGTTGATGAAAACAGTTCAATCGTTATAATATCACAACACGCGTATCTACGTACAGTAAAAACATACCGCCAACAAGGACTAAAAAAAAATGTTATACGTGTTTGGTGTTTATGTTAATTCATATTGTATCTACATATGTAGATTCTACATATTATACCTACCATATTTATAAACATAATAAAACAGTTGAGCGTAATACCATATTAGACGTTTTTTTGTAAAAAAAAACCTGCTCTTCCGGTAAACCAGCTGTGCGTTTCGCTAACCGTTTTATCGTAAATAATTTGTACAATGGCACACATTTATTTAATAACGATAATAATATATATGTGTATAATATAGTTATTATGCTTCTTGTCTTTTTTAATTACAGTTTTATCAGAAAGCGGACCCGTGCGATAGTATTTTTGTATAATCGTGTTTGAAATGTTGTATGATATAATATATTATTATACTTAGTATCTATTATAAATATTATAATCACATATGAATCTAGATTTTAATATACATATGTGTAAAATTAATTTTATCAAAACATGAATTACGGCCCATATATTGCCTAGATGGCAATTTAGTCACGGAGTGTCGTTACCACAGTGACATAGATCATAATTGTCCTGGATTAAGACTATGTTGTAAACCTTTGTAAGAATTTTAGTTTCTAAGCACCAAAAAAAATAAGCAAAACATAAAGTGAACTAGACACCAGGGTGTAAATATACATAGCAGAGCGTATCACAAAGATGTATGCAGTCACGGTGTGTTCTGGTTGAAACCAACCAAATTTAAAATTTATGTTTCTAACAATAATACTACGGTGTTGGTTTTGTTTGAGATCTCTGAAAACGAAATAGAACGACGGTAGGAATATGAAAACATTTCAAAGACTGCATGGATATATAGTAATATGATACACGTATTTAAGATACCATTACACACGCAGAAAGTGATCGTCGATCGGAAGTTTCTACACGTTTGACGGTTATACTTTTATAAGGATTAAATATCAGACCAATTTATTGTCAAAAGCCCGCATTTAAGTTTAAGCTAAAGAAACTTAATAAGCCTCTCCCCCTTCGACCAAATCAGCTCTGTCTACTGACTTCTGGGGTAAAATAAACGTATTTCCGCACCGACGTTCTATATACCTGGCTTGCGATTCGACGATCTATATAATATGTTTCATCATGCAATGATAACAGTTGCTATGACGTTTGAACGATAATATGTTATGCACACACCCTCGCGATACGCCCGTCGGTAGGTTTATTATATAACAACATGTGCACGTGATCACTGCAACACCAACTTAATATTACTTATATGGTATAGTGAGTCGATTATAGTTTGTACTTACATGGATGTCTTGTCCGGGGATCGGCGAGGCGGCCGTCGAACAAGTGTCGGCCGAGAACCGCAGCCGGGTCCAAGCTCTTTCGTCTGTTAGCTCCATAACTGTGACGCCGGGCCGCTGACGAACGTCTCCTATGGTCGGCGGGAACAGCGCTGTAGCTAGCACGCCGTCCGTCGCCTTTGGAAGGCGTGTACGACATACCGAGCATGCTGAACAGGTTTCTCATGATTGAGACTCGTGCGTTCAAGTCTCTGTCGATCGCTCTGTCTACAGCGTTTGTGTAATTTTTCAATCCGTCGGTGCACCTCCGTAGTAGACCAGCTGCACGCCGATCGAGACGACTGGATTCGCAGGGCTCTATACGACGACGATACGTTACGGTGGCGACGGTGGCGATCGATACCGATCAAAGTTACAAGACTCGGGAAGATTGATGATCATCGGCGTACAATGAATCTGTACGATATAGTATAGGTATGTATATACGGGTGGGTTGCTATCGATGAGGATGTGGTCTGACGTTCGTACGCGCACTGTAGCAATATACTATAGGTACGGTCCGCCTAAATTACTTCGATCGAGAATAGAATAGTATTAATAATATTACGCGATCCGTTTAAATAACATAATATTATGTTTTATCAATAACCGGCGGTCGGACGGCGTGTAGAACACATATCATATCATTTACGCAAGTATGATTAATAACGATTTTAACGGAGGTATAGGTCAGTGGGTATTGACGACTCACCGGACACCGCGCAAACTCCCACTATACTATCGTCTGGAATCCCTACTCGAAAATATACGATAAAAAAATTTAAAAACCACGCACAGGAGAGACGAAACAAGCGCGAACGGTCGTGTGTGTATGTGTGTGTGCGCGCGCGTGTACGTTTTTTTCTGTTCAATTTCATGAAGGTCTTGGACATCGGAGGTCGCGACCACGACGATCGTGGCAGAAAACCAGACCGCCGCCGTCGCCATCGCCGCCGCTACCGTCGACAACAGTTCGCGCGTTATACAATCAAACCGCGTGCAACCGGATACGACCTAGGGGAGGTTACTCAGACGTGAGTTCGATGAGAACTGACGGATATTTTTCTAAATGACCTTGATAACCGCTGTTTGGCTCGGGATTTATTCCTCTTGAAAACCGTTTCGATGTGTATATGTGTACAAATATAATATTGTGTACCTATACCTCTACGTATATATTCATATACTACTGCACGTACATGATGATGGTTTCAAAACTTGTGCAACCAACAAAAAATCGATCCAATTCGTGCGTGCTGATAATAGTTACGTGAGAAATATATATAATGTAATGCGCCGACTAAAATCCGACGAGAATAACGAAAAAATTAATACTACGCGTATTCATGTATAATATATAGGTATATATATATTATTTTTAAATAATAATAATGTGTCGTTGTTGTGAACGCACATCACGTCATCATCGTCATTTCTGTTTAGTGCAGATACTATGTTGTTGATGTGGATAGGTTAAACGTGTTTTGATGCCGTTTATTTAATGGCTCGCGTATTATAATAATAAGCAGTCTCGTTATCTGCGTGATATCATAATATATTTTCACTGGTAATGTGGAAGACCCGAGGTTAATTAATATTATGGTTTTCGTAAAAATCGTTTTGTTGTTTTGTTTAGGTTCACCTAGATGCGGTCCGTCACTAGCTTCATCCTCCGGACTCGCATTTAACATAATACAGATGGTAGTTAAATTTAGGCCAACGGAAAACAATAACGTGTGTTCCGGTCGCTGTTCAAGATGAAAAAGCGTTCCAAGCTGCGCAAATGAAACCAAACAGCTTTTACACCGGCGTGCGTTATTATATTTTATTGTTGATTGCATTGAATCACGTTAAATCTGGTTTTATACAGTAACGGAATATTCCTATGTGTATTTAATTTGATTTAACATTATTCAATATCATATTTGATCGAATCGTAGGTACATCGAAGGTCTCTTTTTGCGGAATTTAATGATATACATCTTACCGACCTACGTCGTACCGCCACCAACAAGTTTTATCTAGCGAGGTGTGTTGACTCACATCAAATTCATTAATAATATCATATAGTAACTAACTAGGTATATGTATAAATGAAGAAGCGTATAATAGCGTTATTCGTTTACGCGATACGGTAATATTGTCAATTTTGATAAAAATATTGAACCATCAACCGTCCAAATATAATAATAATATATTTCCCATATAACCTGGTTGGCCTATATAATTATTATTACGTAAGTCTCATCTTTGAATCGAAAAATCTTCGTCGACGCGCTACAACTGCAGCTACGTCCAGACGACGACCGCAAGGTTATTATAATGGTACGTTTTGTTATTCAAATATGGTATATTATAGACGCTGGTGTATATATATATTTTTATAAACAATGTGATTATTAAATAACTGCAGGTAGAGATAGGTTACCTCCTGAGGATACCTCCTGCTATAGTATAGGTAAACTCGCAGTTATATAGGTACTTCATGAATATTAAGATTCCTTGTTATAATAATAATTTATTGTTGTCCGCACATACATGCTTCAATCAACCAAGAAAATATTTAAATATGTGTGGATTAGCTCGTTAGTTTACTGTCGTTGTATACCTGTTGAATGTAATTAAAATCACTGCACATGATTAAATACTTAAATGTAGATAAGTACGATCTCGCTACACATCACTTTGTAATATGTTTAATATTAAAACAAATAGGTAACTATTATGATATTCTAAAATTTAAAGCATTAAACCGCGTGTAAAACTACAAAATGCTACTGCTATTCTTTTTAGTGTTTTCGACTATATACACATAATATAGGTGAGTATCATAATAATGCGTTGCTTTGTATACGGATTGGACGTCGTGGTACACCTAATAATTAATACTGTACGCACGGCCACTTGTTGATGCTAATTAACGCTATTTATAATCAACACTTGTACTATATCTTAATGATGGTTGTACACAACTGTGTTGCTAATTATATCCAGGAATTCTTTTATTTCTTATTTTGACAGTAGTGTCAGACTTTGTAATTATTGTTTATATAATAGTAATATGAACGCGCGGTAGGTATGAACATCTATTATAATATAATATTATATTATATACTTTGACGATTCGATGTTTTATTATATTAATGGTCACGTATAGAGTAGATATAGGTACCATCACCATTCATGACATAATATTTGAATATATATTATCGTATTAAAATACTAGATATTTTGATTCACGAATTCCGGATGTAAAAAAAATATACCTAATGAATAGATTATTACAACTGCAACGAAAAACTACTACCTGCAGGCATATCATAGCTAAAAATATAATAACCAACTCGTCGTCTACTATATAATTCTGGAAGAGAAAAAAAATAGGTGGCTTAAATAACGTAGGTGCCTATGGTCTTGTCCATAAAACTCACAATTTATGAATATCGTAAACTTTCGACGATGATTTAACATCATTTATTACACGTTTTGTACGGTCGATTCTAATAATATATTACATTACATGGTAGGTAAGCATAGCATAGGTACCTATGTCTGTTTAGTAATACGCAAAAATACAACATCAATTATGTAGGTATACCTACATTATTTAATTGCAGTTACCTACGCAATATAATAACATAGATATGGTAATATAGAGTAATAGTAAGGTATTATAATCATATAATACCTTACTATTACTAATAAATAATATAATATTTAATAAAACAAATTATAAAAATTATTGTTTAAATACTTAAATTATTATTGTTTCTGAACTATCTTTCAGTAAATTTATTATCATTAGACATTAGGTAGGTATTATTTTACATGGTCATAATAAATAAGCCAATAAAAATAAATCATATTCAATTATCACGTTAACAATTATTAATAAGTAATAATTTAGATAGTTAAAGTTCTCAATTTATAGTTTTTTTAAAATACGGTTTCCTGTTAAAATTAGTCATAACTCATAAGTTTGATAAATTTAATATACTACAAAACTTTAAAACTTTTAACAAAAAAAAATACAGTATAAAATTCAATATACACCCCAAAAAAAATGCACCCTAAAATCAAAATTTAGAAAAGTATAAAAATCTTTCAATTTTTATTAAAAAGAAAAAATATATGTATTAAATTATTTAAAATATATATAAAAAAAATTTAAAAATAATTTATTAAATGTCTGTAAAAAGTTTTAATTGAGGAAAAATTTAAACTAATTAAAAAAAAAAATTTACAAAAAAGAATTTCCAAAAAAAGGCTAAAATAAAATTAGTAGGCACCTAGTACATACCTATGCACGTAGATAGATCATTAATTATTGAAAGTTTCAGAAAAAAAGTTTCACAAGTCCAAAACAAATTATTATTTTCACACATGTCATCTAAATCGTTTCCGCTTATTATTTATGAAGATTATTTCACACGAACTTTATACTTTGTAACTTTAAATTTAAATACAAATGTATAAAGTTATACGACTATTATAATATGTCTATAGTATAGTTGTACAAAAAAGTCGTAAAATATTAAATAAGTGTAATTTAATTAACTAATTAAAAATTAAAAGTTATACAGATATAAGTATTTTTAATGAGTAACTTCTTTTAATTAATAACCAACAATTATGCTTATTAAAAAAAAATTATAAACTCTATATTATAAGATATACAAGATAAACTTAATATTATTATTATTTCATACAAATCATTTTTATATTGATTCCCAAAGTGCCTACCTACATATACTGAGTGGACGATTATGACATGGCAAATATTTAGATTTAGTAAGTATTTAAAATTTTTTTATTAACATTTACTGACCATTATATGATCAGTATATATCATACACTTTTATACACAATCAATCTAATCATGAGTGTTTAAATATTTAATATATTATTATAATAACCTATTATTCTATGATCACTGTGTATAAAGCAAGGCTGGTAATTGAAGCCAGTGCAAACTGTGTTGTCACGAAGAACTTCACGCAAATAAAGACCTCACGGTTCATTGGAGAATACAAATTACAGTTTTCAATTTATATTGTTGGTTGACGTTTTTTTATATATTTTGAATTTTATTACTATTAACTAAAAACTAATTAATAAATAATCGTAATGCAATACTTACCAGTTTTATTATATTATGCAATTTGAATTTGTTATTAATCAACTAAAATGAATTGTTTGTTTTTATTCTTCAATGCAGTCACATCTGGATTCATCAATCCGAGAACGCTTAAACGCTCCACTGATTAGGCCCCACAAAATCATTTTAGACACAACCTCGATATTCATCAAACTTAGCTGTGTAGATAATTTTTAGCAGCATGCCATCCCCTGTGAAAGCTCTCAAACATTAGCTCTGATACAGCGACATAATATCCGTGTGGTCAAAAATTGTGTGTAGAAATAACCACTACTACTAATACGTAATTTATTTATTGCGCTATAAATAAAAAAAAAAACAAATTTAAGAACGTAATTTTATTTTTATGAAAATAATTGTAATATTTTAATTACTGCCATGAACTGTAATTATTCTATTATATTATATTCTATTTTATTTTTATTTTTTACACATTATGTTATTGTACGAAGTTTAAAAAATATCCAACATGTACGCATTAATTACATTGTGCTGTCAAATAATGTAATAATTAACTTTAT